ATTTTTTAGGCCTATAATAGATTCTGGTTTTAGCATCCCTTAACCCACAAAAGTTTCTGAAATATGTGAAGTCACATGTATTGTTTTATTGAAATGCAGTGGCCTTTGGAGTGAGGAGTGACAATCTGACAATTGGAACTTTGGTAATACAGGGTTTAGCCCAAAACTGTTTTAGATCAGCATCATAGGACCTTTACATGTGTGAAGATGCTCACAAACTGAATTTGCATCCCTAGCAGGGCTGAGGTGGAATATGGACACTGGTTTTTTTTCCGTCATAGTTTCTTTAATTTGCTGGGCACGTGTGTTCACTTCTCTTCACTGACCTCCCCCGTGTAGCAGAGGCTACTTGCTGCTTCATGATTTCTAATTGTTTTTTAATCTCAGTTCCATATAAACAACTCTCTTGGCCTGTTTGCTTGCTTGTTTTTTTGATCAGCTTAGTGAACATCATTAGAAGAGATTTCTGCTCCGATGCCACCAACTGATTAGAGGAGGACACCAAGGTTTTGTCTAATCTCTGGTGTGACTGTCATGTGCTGCAGCAAGGAAATGGCTTTGGAAGAAGCAGCCAAATCTGTGTGGGTATTAAACCATGTTGAGGAGACGAGTATCAGTGGGGATCAAATGGGCAGCCATTCAGTGCAGGGAGCTTATTAAAACACAAGGATTAACTTGGCTGCTGTTCATGAGGTCATGGAAGTGCTAAGGGATTTCCAGGATGTACCTTTCCTTAAGGGGAAAAAAACGTCAGCAGCAAGTGGGAAATGCCCCATTTCTGCTCCTAGTGGTGCTAATTCGGGTGGTTCTCATCTTCTCCACGTGCTTTCTGTGGAGCAGGAAACCTGTCATTACCTGTTAGTGCAGGGGTGGGGACTCGAGGGATGAAGTCCCAGGAGCTGATCTCCGTGGTGGAACAGATTCTGGGGGAGAGCTGTGGCTGGATTCCAACAACCTCCTCGGGGCTGGGTCTGGGATCACCCTGGAGAAGTGGTGGTGGAGTTGGAGCTGCTGTGTTTCTGAAAGGTCCCTTGGTGCTGTGGGGATGAGGATGGGCTGGGAATTCCAGGGGTGTTGCTGCTGGTGGGGATGGGAGAAGGCCGAGCACTTGGACTTTGCTGTGGGCTCAGGTCTGTAACTCAGCCTGGTTAGATCGTGTGCAGAAATCCAAAATCATTCCTTGAAAAGGGTAATGTATATGTGCACTGGGGGGAAGTGAGTAAAACTGGAGGTGAAGGACTGTGTAGAATTTGGTTTGCCATCACAAACCACCAGCTCCTACTGTGGCATCACCACATCAGTTTGACACAGTATTTTTTGTACCTTCTCAGCGTTATTTTCCTAACTTTTCCCAAGGCCTTGCCTCTCCTCTCCCCCTCAAAGACAGAGATCCTGTCACCAGCTGCTGGGACTGATCCAGGTCCATGTTGACCCAAGGACATATTTTGTGTGTGCTGGTGGTCATGTGTCCAGCCCTGCCACAGACACCTTTTGTGCAGTTATTTTGACTCAAAATGACCCAATTCCAGAGAACGTTGGAATAGTTTGGGTTGAAAGCGACCTTAAAGCTCATTCAGTTCCAACCCCTGCCATGGGCAGGGACACTTTATTAGTTTAGGTTGCTCCCAGCCCCAGAGTCCAACCTGGCCTTGGACCCTTCCAGGGATCCAGGGGCAGCCACAGCTTCTCTGGGCACCCTTTGCTGGGGCCTCACCACCCTCACAGGGAAAAATTCCTTCCTAAGCGTCTTGATGATTTTTTTTTTTTTTTTAAACTAATATATAAATTCAGAATATTTTGTGCAGGTTCAAGTAGTGTGCAACGAAATCCTCTTTCCCCATTCAGAGTGCTGAGTTGTTGGATCCTGATCCCATATTTAGTGTGGTTCTGGTCCGTATAACCATGTGAAATAGAATTTTCTGGACTATCAGTACAACTGGCAGGAAGATCAAAGTTCCAAGCAGCTGATCTCAGATGAGAGATTATAAGGGCAGGATAATCGGATAAAGGGCAGTTGAAGAAATTTGACACTTAAAATACTTTTTGTAAATCTGCCTGTCCCTGTGTGTCCTTGGTTTTGGGAGGAGAATTTGTGAAGCTGGGCTTGTCTAGGCGAGATATTTCGGGGAAAGATAAAAGATTTGGAAGTTTACTGTAGATAATATGTCTAATAAGTGATTAATTCTATGCAAGTGCAGATTTGTGTGGGGAAATGAGTGTGTGGGACTTCTGGCTGATCACTAGCATTTGGTTATCTTGTTTGTGTGTTATCTTGTTTGTATTTCATAATAACACTAATCCTGAAACACGTGTTCCTCGCTTCCTGTAGGGAGAGAGAAAATGTGTTTAAATGTTGAGTGTAAATGGAGCTACTTCCAGGAAAAAAAAAACCCAGAAACTTGGGATCAACCAATGTATTCGTCAAAGGAATTTGAATCAGCAGTAAATTACAAGACACTTAGTGCTGTCAGACAGCTTAAACTTCCTCATTGATTCAGCACTGGCTGCTGCAAGCAGGAATTCTGTCTACACATTTTTTTCTTGCTAATTATATAGAAATCTGTAATGATGCTGAAATGCTATTTTGCCTCCAAATGTAATACTGCATTTCTGCAGCAGCCTTTCCCTTTAGTGGGTATTTTCTGCACATGAATCAATGTAAAAATCTAGCAGGAAACTTCATGTTCTCAGTATTGGTGTGAAACGTGGTGATGGAGAGGGGCTGAGCAGTGGATTCAGCTCTCAGTACAGTGTGAGGCATGGGGGGAGCTGTATCCTCTGGGGAAGAATGCAATAACTCTCATGTTTCTGGAATTTGTCAGTTTTTGCTTTAATGCTATTTATAGTTCAGCATATATAAACATTGGCCTGTGTTTAGGTGAAAACACAAAGTTTCATTTGAAGTCGGATGTGTGTGGAGTAGGTTTATGGCAGCAAGAGTTCTTAAAGGTACCCAGGCACTTGGGGTTCCTCTGGAAGTGTTGAAGTGCAGTTCACTAATGATGTATTTTACACTGTGAAGCTGCATCTGATGTGAGAACAGCCAGGAGAGTTGTTTTACTTCAGAAAGCTTGGATTTGGCCATAAACTTCTGCCTTGAGCTCCTAGATTCACAGAATGCTTTGGAAGGATTGGAAGGCAGCCCTTGTTCTCACTTCTGCTCCTGTTGTACTGCAAGGAGCAGCTGCGTTTGCTTTTCCTCAGAGATGAGTGCAGCAGTTTGTACAAGCCCTTGTAGGTGAGCACCAGCCTTTACTCCAGCTGGTACTGGCACTACTACCTGTAGCAGGAAAAGAAAATCACAGGCAGATGTTCAGGGCTGCTGCTCAAAATGTTAAGTGAGGGGCTCCAAAATGAGGGATTGCAGCAGTGTGTGTCTGCAGGTAGCTAGAACACTTTATATTTCATGGGTGAGTTCAATATATACACACACTTCCATTCCTTTCTCCTCAAGAAATCTTCTGAGAGGAGTGAATTGTCATCATCATCTGTTATGACTCATAAAATATTCAGAGTTGACTACAAAAGCTCCTTTCCAAACACCAAGTTATTGAGAAATTGAGAGCTTGTCTCTTTGGGCTGGTTCTTGGGGAGTTTTTTTGTTTAAGAAATTTATTTTTGACTCTCCAATGTGGTGAAGGTTCTGTCAAGCCTTTTGCTTTAGAGAGATGCTTACATCCAAGACTCCCACAGGATAATTCTTTCTCAGGGAGCACATGATTTTTGCAGTAATCCACAATTCTAATCTTTGTGAATAATTCCAACGATATGATAAAGAGGGAGGGAAAGAAAAGCCAGCATTAGAATTGAAGCACATTCCCAAAGATCACAAGACCATTAAGAGCAAATCTTTAATTTCATGCTTCATTGATAAAGGCCAAGTTACTTGAAATGTGGTCTAACATATGACACCCAGCCTCTATGCTGAAACACCTGGGGAGCACACCTCAGGCTGCAGCTGTGCAGGAGGCTGGAATTAACCTGAGAGCTGTAAATACAAGAGGATGGAGCCAGCTCTTAGGAGGGAACCTTGGGAGGTGTCCTGGGTAACACATGAGGAGGAAGAGAGCTCAAACCCATGGGATTAATAGAACACAGGGAGCACATGGAGCTCTTGGAGCAAGCCCTGAGGAGGTCACTGAGGTGATCCAAGGGCTGGAGCCCCTTGGCTCTGGGGGCAGGCTGGGAGAGCTGGGGATGTTCACCTGGAGAAGAGGAGGCTCCAGGGAGGGAGGCTCCAGGGAGAGCTCAGAGCCCCTTCCAGAGCCTAAAGGGGCTCCAGGAGAGCTGGAGAGGGACTGGGGACAAGGGATGGAGGGACAGGACACAGGGAATGGCTTCAAATTGCCAGAGGGGAGGGATGGATGGGATTTTGGGCAGGAATTCCTGGCTGTGAGGGTGGCAGGCCCTGGCACAGGGTGCCCAGAGCAGCTGTGGCTGCCCCTGGATCCCTGGCAGTGCCCAGGGCCAGGTTGGACACTGGGGCTGGGAGCAGCCTGGGACAGTGGGAGGTGTCCCTGCCCATGGCAGGGGGTGGAACAGGATGGGCTTTAAGGTCTCTTCCCAGCCAAATCCAGTCTGTGATTCTGTGACTCCATAGGATGTTGTTAGGAAGATGGTGCTAAATAAAGCTTTTTTTCCTTAGGAAGTCAGTTGCACAGTTGGAATTCTGAAAACAGGTTTGTCTCAGATTCTCATGTGATGTGCTGCCCTCAGCCCTTCGTTCTGAATGAGAACAGTTTCTCTGGAAGTTCATGAATTATTTCTTTGTTTGAGCAAGTTTGTGTCCTTTGTTTAGGTCTTCAGAATGTGCATCTTAATGTTTGTTTGTTTTCTGAAATAAGTTTTTTCCATGCTATTATTTCCAAGCACTTAGTGTAACTTTCCCCAAAGCTTCTGACAGGCTTGGGTTATAATTCATATCTTTTAGGCAAAACCATGATTTCTTTGCTTGTGTAGGATACGGGTGACTTTTTGATCAAGTTCTTTTCGTTCCACAGAATCTGTCTATGACCTTCTCCCAAAGGAGCTGCAGTTACCACCTTCCAGAGAAACATCCATAGCATCCATGAGCCAAACAAGCGGTGGCGAGGCCGGTTCGCCGCCTCCAGCTGTAGTTGCTGCTGGTAAGGATTCTCCTTTATTCTGGTCTTTTCTTAAGGTTTGTAACGTTCTGGCCAACATGAACAGTGCTGGGAAAGTTCTGGGTGTAAAAAAAGAGCTTGTGGGGAAGTAACAGAGTTCATTCTAGGAGAATGGAGGTGGTACAATTCAGGTAGTTTATGCTAATGGTTGCTGTGTTGCATATATGCATCTCCCTAAGAAATAAATTATCTCTTCCTCTATTCTGTTATGCCACACAGGCAATTAACTCCTAGAATGCACTCTGTTTTCCAAGGGAATAAATCCCTGTTTGGAACTAAGGCAGAATGCTGACTGACTGTAAACCAGTGGATTCTAGTTAGGATAAAAATGGAATGGGAGATGACATTTTGGGCCATGAAGCTTTTACCAAAATGTGAGGAGGAAGAAAAGGTCATGTTTTCCATTGAGGCCTGAGGAGGTGTAGTATTTAAATCCTTTCACACACATCTCTAGTGTGATGTGGTAAAAAAATCCTCAAATACATGAGGATATAATGTACATCAGCTCTAACTCTGTAAATGGCCAGTGTAGTTACTTTTCTAATTGACAACATTTAGAAAAGAGGCATGACCTTTTAATCTGCATCCTTTTCTTATTCCTAGCCATGTTCTAGACATTAAAGACTCTCACTGATCTTCATTAAACGTAAAAAAGTGAGGATCTAAGGGCAAAGCTTTCATTTGGGAGATTAGCCTCAGTTCTGGCATGCATCTGGAATTCTTGTCAGTAACTTGTATATATTAGTACACGTCTGTGCAATGGGGAAAAAAGATCATTTTGCCCATTATAGATGTGTCTCCCTTCACTGGATAAAGATTTTTGGTTTTTTTTTTATAATTTGGTCCCCATATTTCTTACAAGGTCACGTTCCACTTTCCTAATTGGCCTTAAATTATTGCTTGAGAAAAAAATGTCCATAGGGTGAGGATTCAGATAGCTGCATTATTCCTTTTTCTCTCTTTGAGTTCATATGCATTAAATGTTTGTGTGAGAATATTTCCCAGATTTGCATGGTCCAAGAATCCTGATCAGAACCTGAAGTCGATTTGTCAGAGAAACTTTACAGCACTGCTCACCATTCATGTTTTGCCAGACCTCTCCTGAGAACCTGTGGATTTAACTGTGCACAGTTGGAACGTGTTCATTCAAAGAATTTGATGCTTTTATTATATTGAAAGGATTTGATGTTTTTATATCACTTACTAAAAAAAAAAAATAAATAAATTTGGGCATCTGTTTCTAAAATCAAGATGCTTCATGATGGGTTTGGTTCATGGACAGCAGCAACCAATCTTGTAGAAACATGTATCCTAAAAACAACTGAACAAAAACACCCCACAAACCCTGTTACACTCTAAATCCACAGACAGGCCTGAACTGCTAATTAATTCTGTACCTAACAGATAAGACTTAAACTTGAATGGAACTAAAAGTCTGTTGCCTCCAGGTATTTGGTGCCTGCCAACAGCCAGTCCAGATCCTTTAAAAAACCTGAAATGCATTCATTAGGTGTGTTTGGGTTAAACTGCAGCACAAGTTTCTGGAATTGAAAGCTTTAAAAAATTAATGTTGAGGCTTCTTGTTAACACTGAAAGGAGACCTGATGATTCTCCTATGAACACTTCTCAATGTCAGAGACCACAGACTGAGCTGATAGCAATTTGAGAGCTGGGATTGTTCAGTGTGGAGAAAAGAAAGATCCAGAGTGACCTCAGAGCTCTTCCAGTGCCCAGAGGGATTCCTGGAGACCTGGGGAGGGACTTGGGACAAGGGATGGAGGGACAGATGTTAAAAATTCTCTTTAAACTCCCCCACCCAACAAGGCAGAACCCCAGAGGAGCCAAGACCCCTTTTGTTTCCATTGTTTGAACGTGGCACATTCTGTGTTCTTCTGTAGCTGCACCCCCTTGGTGTAGAGCAAAGGGGTGATTTACTATTTCCTTTAATTGCTGTGGGATTTCTTCAGCATCTTGGAGAAGTTGCCACCACATTTATTCTGTTACCCTGCCTCAAGTACTAACGAGAGGTCTGGCTGGGGTTTCTTCCCAGAAAAATTATCCTGGGCTTTGTGCAAACCAGGTGCTTATACAGGGATACAAACATATATTTTACATTTACATTTCAAAGGATTGGCTAGCATTTGCATACATCAAATGTTTAATAGCAGACTGCAGGCAGATTTTTGGGGAGCTGACACTGTACAGGAGCAACTGGCAACCTCTTGTTCTGTATCTGAAATTTTTCCCTTGTTTTGTGTCTTTCTATTTTTTTTTTTTTTTTTGCTTGTTTGTTTCATCTTACTTGCCTTAAAACCTCCCTTTTCAGGAATAAGAGAGAAATGTTCAGTCTGCACAGGGCTGTAGGTAATCTCATTTACTCTTGTTTTTAAAAGGAAGGGCTAATTTGAACAGCTAGCCACACATGTAGAATTCCCCTGCAGATCTGATTACTCTGGGTAATGAGAGGATCCGTGACAGGGTTTGATCCCAAGTGTTCAGAGCTTTTTACTACTCCTCTAGTAATTCACAAAGCTTGTTCTGTGCTTCCTGAAATGCAGAGCAAGGCAATATCTGGCTGAAATTCAGCTTATTCGAGGCTTTTTTGTCACCTTGCTGTGGGATTTTTGTCCCATATAAATCATATTGAACATTGGAAATACTGCTGCAGTTAACTCCTGGTTTTTTTGGAGGAGCAGGATAGGCTGGTTTTAGCAGTGATAACCTCACAGGGACAGACTTCTAGTTCTTCTTCCATTTGGAAATTTGTTTTGTGATTTACGGAACAGTTGTAAGAGTATGAAAATGGAATGTTGCTGATTGGATTTTCAATACTTTGTTAATAAATGTGTATCTCCTGTTCATTAATCCAAACAAAAGAGGTGTTACCCACTCTCTGAATATCAAACAGACAAGTATGATTTCATAGAACTCTGGGATTTTGAGCTGCTATCTCAAGCTTCTAAGTCTGTAGTTCTTCTGGAAAAGAGAAGGGAGGGAATGGATCTGTTTTTACCCCTGCAAACCATTCTCTGTGCTTGCTGCTCCAATTCCAGTGTCTTTGTTCAAGGGGACAGGAAAAGGAGGATTTTGCTTGGTGCAGCACCATAAACACATTAAATATGAATCATCTCCAGACTCTGGAAATGCATGAGGGTGTCATGCTGAGAAATGTCATTGTGTGCTCTGCCTGGAGATTGTACATGGAATAAATGTGCCTGAAGCTTTCCCAGTGCTCCTGCCCAGGGTTTGTGAGCTCCAGTTACTCGAGTCTCTTCTCACTTGGTTCTAAAAGGCTGAACAGTTGTTTGGTGTTGGTCAAGACACCTTGCACCTTAAAACGCTTGAAATTCACTCTGCCAATTTAAGTCCTTTTTTCAAGGTGTCTTTCCAGATTGTAGGTAGCACATGGTTCTTGTCTTTGGAGGATGATGAGGAGTATTTTCGACCATAGTCTTTAAATGACTTGCTTTTTCATCTTTTATCTCCAGTGCCAGGAATGCTCAAACCTTCTGAACCCCAGTGAAATGAAACTCACTTCCCTTCTCACCATCCCTTGTTCTTCCTGCAGCAAAACTTGGAATGAGATGCTTCATTTTGTTGATGAAGCTGCTTTCCATTTCCCAGAGAGGCAAATATATGTATATCTCCATATTTTTTGTATTGCTGTCCAGTTTCCAGTTCTTAGTCTCCAGTGGAATTCTCCACTGTGATGTTCTTGCTGCAGCAGAAGGGGAACAGGTTTTGTGCTCCTGAAATGTATTCACTGATCTCTTCTTTTGGATTCTCCATATTGGGGCATGCAGTAAATGTGTGATACAGTAAAGTCTTCTCACTCCCAAATGCTGTAATTACATCCTAGGAAAATAGTGGGTAAATGATGAAACTTGATCTTTTTGTGAGCAATTTTATGCTTCTTGTTATCCTTATTTTTAATTAAAGGGTCAATCTAGTTGTCCAAACAGGTATAACTGACTTTTTTTGATTGGAGTTGTAATTGAAATGTTGCCATAAGCATCTTTGGTCATTTTACTTATGAAAATAAGGCTTTGCTTCTGGATTGTTACTTTTGAGACATATTAAAGATACCTGCATTGCCTGTGGGATAGAGACTGGGTGCTGAGGGGTCGTGTTTTCTGCTGCCAAAATAAGGCTTTTTCATCCTTCACCAACAGAACATTCTAATAAAGCCTCAAAATGGAGATGGCTTTGTTTTGCTTTAGTTTTCCCTGAGTGGCTTCTCAGGCTTCTTCATTTGTATTTTTACTGAAAATATTTTGTTCAGTTATCATCCTTCCTGGTGTCATTAGTCAGTTTTTCCTGTTGATACAGAAATAATTACCAGAGGTTTCAAAGGGGGTCTCAGTGCTGTCCCCAGTTCTCTTATCCCGGGCTTACGATTGCACGTTGTAAACAAAGGAGCAGAAAAAAAAGGATTCTTCTTTGTAGTTGGTCTCCCATGCCTGTAAAAACTTCCATTTCTTTGTAGGCTTTTCCCTTCCTCTCCCCACCGCCCTCCCAGTTGGAAATGCCTTCCTGTCATTTCCAGGAGGTTTTCTTCCGGGGATTTCTGGCTGCAGCCACGGGTCAAGAACTTCTTTTCTCACACAGGGCAGCTTCAAGCAGACCCCAATGCTCGTGCAAAACTCCCCCCACTGCTGCTGCACGTGGGTTTCAGTTTTCTCCTGGAAGTTCATGTCCCAGAAGAGCCATGGCAGAGGCCAGGTCAGGATGAGGGTCAGCTTAGCTTGGAGAGGTTCCTTCATCACTCCAAAATCATTCCCATCATTGCTGGGAAATGCCGGAGATAAAGATTTTTCATACTGTTTCTATTTTATGGAAACGTTTTAGCTCTGTTCTCTGCAAATTGAGTTGGAGTATCCCAGTTGTACAGAGCTGTTGAGGGCCTTCCTGCTCCATGAGCTTCCTTAGAATTCTGTATTTATATTGGTGTTCATATCTAGTTCATATCTTTTTTTCTAAAT